AGTGACCAAGTCGAGGTAAAAATGGAGGCCAAAAACAAAATGGAGAGGTTGGGAATCTCAACATTGATTATAGCAAAAAAGAAAGAGAAAGCCAGGAACAACACACATTAAATAGGTATACAAATAGTCTATCTTAACCAGGTGGAGTTCACATTGTGTTGAAGGGGGGTGCAAGATTCCCTCCATTGACAATGTCCACACCACTATTCTTGCCTTAGCTAGCAACATCCAAATGATGGACATGAGATGTTCAGAATTGATACAAGCTATCAAAATCACTGACATAGTCCCAGAGTGAGCATACCTGAGAACAATGGTAGAAGGTATGCTAAGCTGTTTCCTCTAGACCAAGGTCCCTCTAAAGGCTACATCATTGAAAGATAGCACATTCCAAATCAATCACCAGATAAGCGAAAACTCAGGGTTGCTGAGGTAATCCGCCACTGGTGCCCAAAACCAGAAAGAGTGCAACTCAGTTGCCAACAAGCCAGGTTGCCCACAAACAGAATCCTTTGCACCCCCCATCACTTAGAAGGCCATGAAAGGTCACTGAACTGAGGAATGACCTTCAAGGACACCTGACACTCTTGGAGGAATCTCAACTGATTCCAGGTTTACAATGGTGCTCAGCTCCAGAAATGGGAGGAATGATGTTAAGGCTAGGGAAGGCCTCCCTAATACTCCCCTCCAAGATCAAGGTCCTCTGTCAATGCACAGCATAGGAAAGCCCACTTTAATGTATGCTGGTGGCTCATCAAGTGTGCATTCCCAGTTTCCTATGAGACAGACATTGGGCAAGGACCTCTATGCACACTTGATGATTGTGACCAGAGGAAGGAGAGAAAATGCTTGATTGCCTACTTATGGTTCTTGCAGACAACTTCTTCTTCAGAGCCAAGTCTGGACCGGTGTTTTAACCTTTGTCTGTACCTCCAACCAATTCTTTTTCAGCTGAAACCCAGGCCCAGACCACACTCCAAGAATGCAGACAGGTCCATCTGTCCAACTACCTCCTTCCAGCCACCTAACCACAAACCGGAAGACTTGTTAATCTTAACACCTTCATGACCTTCTTTACCATTCAAGCCTCTTCTGTACCATCTGAACATCAGCAATCTCAGTGGAAATGACTACAAAACACTTGCCTCTCCCTGATTTATAGGCAGAAGCACACAAATTGATACTGGGATATTTTCCTAGCCAATGAAATAGACCAGTTCTCCGTTTCATCTGACTCAGTCCCAGTCTGTATTGCCTTGAAGTCAGAATGCTGTGTTCATTCACCCAAATTTTCTCTTGTATGTCAACCCTAATTCTTAGTTTATGAACTTTTTTCCATATTACTGTTGCTTTGCTTTATTATTGTTAATTTGTCTTACATATATTGTTTGTTTGCTTTATATTATTTTTAGCCATTCTTTTCTTTTTCTTGTCATTGCTTATTGCAAACTTTTTCAATTCTACTTGTTAGACAGTTCTGTAACTTATTTTGCCATTCACTCCACATTGACCAGCATTATTAGAATGGATGCCTTTAATTACCTAGATCCTCTTCTATGTGCTGTGACCTTTCAGAATAGATGGGATCATGGCTCTCCACAATCTCCTATGTCTTTTAGCCCTTACCAGTGTTTATGCTTTTGCCAAACCCTCTTCCTTTGTTCCCTCATCCTTTCACACATGTCTGTTAGGTAGGTGACTATTGCCTTCCCTTTTGCACTTGATATGCCGTTTGGGGGTCAGATTTTTAAAGCCCCCCCCTCCTTCTCATTATGTGTTTAAGTAATTTCAGATGTCTCTTTCTGATTCTATTACCATTTTCCCTAAGAAATTTTGTAGATAGATTTTGATTGGAAGGATTAAAGTCACAATAGTTTGGGCACCCAATGAGGATTGAAGCCATTGCATTTGCAATGATCTGTAAGCTTAGCAAAATCTGCCATGCCAAACACATTGTAGTGAACCACTTTAGTTCCCTTTGTATACCATGGATAAAATGTAAGTCCCATTCATATAGTTTCTTCCTACAAACCCTTGTATTGTGGAACTGACTCCCAAGTGGATGCTTCCCCAAACACAACAATCTTAACCTTTTCAAACCTGGGGTTAATCATTATCTTCCACACATATCCACATAAAGAGTGCCTTTTACAATACAACCCTCTACCTCGAGTGGTTCCCAGGCCTAGTAGAGGGTGAACATCATTCCATTCCATGGGTGAAATCTAAGTTTCACTTGAGCAGCTTCTTCCCTCAAACCCTTGTATTGTAGAATTAACCCCCAAGTGCAGGCTTCCCCAATCACTCTAATCTTAACCTGTTCAAGTCTAGGGTAAACCATTATCTTCCACACCTATCCACATAAACCGTGTAGCCCTCTATCTGCTTTGTGGAACTGACTCCCAAGAGGGTGCTTCCCGGGTCACTACAATCTTTTCAGTTCAAGTCTAGGGTTAGATGTTATCATTCACCTATCCGCATAAACTGTGCCCCTTACTCTGTAGCCCTCTACCTCACGTGGCCCACTATTAAAAAAAAAACATTGCTCTATAGTGAGATACACAGGTATTAGCTTAGCCAATACATTTCAGGAATTCACTATAGTAAAACCTAATACTCTCTGTTGTCTTTCTAATACTCTCACTGTATGGTCTCTTTAACTTTAGACTATACATTGAAATAAGGGTGAGGGTGGATAATAATAAAATATCAAGTCAGATGCACTGTTAATTTATAGATTCGTAAAAGTGCAGACCCCACCCCCAACACACACCTGCCACTTTAAAAATATCAGTCAATAATTTTTTTGTTCTTGTTTTGTTAATTAATTTCCTGCTTTCCCTTTCATTTCTTTCACTATGAATGAATTAGTGACTAGTTTGGGGGTGGTGCTAAGGGTGATCAAAAACAGTCTGAGGAGTTGAACTGTGGGCTGGGGAGGTGGGGGCTGGTTTCCAATCCTCCACCAACTACCATTTTATTTCCAAATAAAAAAGAGAAAAATAAATTAGCAAAAGAACAGATGGAACTCTTCAAGAAAATGTTTGTGATAAGAAAAGACAATAAAAGAACAGACATCAAAAAATATAATCCTGGGTATGAAGATAAACTACATCTAGCAGCAAGTCCTCTTATTGGGAGATTGGTGGTTTTGAGGAACCACCTCTTAATTGCTGTTGTTCCCAGGTCCACCCTGACCCAGCATAGTAGTACCTATGGGAAAATAGTGACTCCCTCCCCCAAAACAAAAACAAAAACTATGTAAGTATAAAATTACATTTTTATATAAAAAAATTACCAACAACACATTTTATAGTAAAATCACCAACAATACATTTTATCTGCTGTTGAAGTCATAAAATTGTGTTCAAACTTTTGGCAATAATCCACAAAGGTGGATATGCTGCTCAACAAAATCAACCAAATGAAATGAAAGGACTCTTTCATGACATATAATATAATACATGCCATATAATACATCTATATAATATCATACATCTTAAAGAAATCAAACACACATATCACTGTCTAGTAATTATGTCCACACAAACATGTATATGCACAAAAGCTGGGTATCATGTACCATGTATTCAATTGTGAAAGCAGAACAACATATTGCATTTTTATTACTAACTATATTTATCACACTATGAAATGACATCAATAAGCAGCTGTCACTTAACTCACATGACTTCATTTTTTTTTCTGTAAAGTAGGAAAGAATAAGCTATGATTTCCAACAGGGGATAATTCTTTTTTATGTACTCTTAAAATGATATATGAATTATTTGATGTTTGTTTTTTTTTTTTTTTCCCAAACTTGAAACAATACCTTTTATTCTTGTCCCGTCATGAGTATAATGATAAACTAAATCTGGCAGCAAGGCCTCTGGTCAAGAGATTAGAGGTTTTGAGGAGTGTGGAACTACCTCTTAATTGCTGTTTTTCTGAGGTCCACCCTGACCTGGGGTGATAGCACCTGTTAGGGTCCCAGCTATGGATAAATAGTGAATCCCCAAACAAAAATCAGTAGTACATTTTTATAGCAAAATGACCAACAATACTTTTCATAGTAAAATTACCAGTGATACATTCTTTATAAAAAAAATTACCAATACATTTCTGCAGTGAATTTATCAGCAATGCATTTTATTATCTACAAACTATATATTTAAAAAACATACCTTTCACCCTGAAAGTATAAAATATTTACAAAATATTTAGATTTCGGCATTAAATAACCTATCGAGGTTGATATGCAGCTAGACAAAAGCAACCAAGCAATCAATATGAAAACTCTTTCATGACATTAATCCATATAATATGCTAGAATTTTTTAAAGAAATCAAAGTGTATTCCAAAATATAACTTCCAGAAAACTATAATATAAAACACACATATCACTGACTCTAGTAATTATGTCCACATAAACATGTATATGTACAAAAGCTGAGTATCATCTACCATGTATTCAATTGTGAAAGCAGAATAACATATATCATTTTTATTACTTCAAAGCTCCCAAGAAAATTAAATTTTGGCATTAAATGACCCATAAGAAGTTAAAAAAAAAAAAAAAAAGATGGTGATTGACATTGCATTTAAATTTTTGGAGATTGTAGTTTCCAGGAAATTAAGAAGCTGGAAGAGAGTTCCACAGTTGAGAAGTGCAAGAGAAGAAACTATTAAAATAGAACATGGTTACATGTAACCATTTCAATGGTAAAATGATGAGACCTAGCTGCCAATCTAGTACTGCACTTAGATTTATAAAGTCAATGTGCCAAAAAGGAAATCTCATCAGAACAGATATCATGAAGATATTTATAGATAAGGCACAATAAAGCTGGGAAAGTGACTGAAGCCAAGATTCCAGATCAGAACCAATAACAATGCAGATTCCTTTTTGTATTTTATCAAGCAATATTTATAGCCATTTCATTGTTAGAAATATTTTCAATGACATCCAATAATTCCCATTTTTTATCTTTTCATTTTAGGTGTTCCAGGCTAATGGGAATTTTGTCAGGAAATTTGGACGTCTGGGCCATGGACAACAGGGTACCTTCAATGGACCCCATTACCTTGCAGTCAGTCCAGACAATCTGATCTATGTGACCGACAGTAATAACCACAGGGTTCAAGTCTTTAGTATCTATGGGGATTACCTGTTTGGATTTGGGAGTGAGGGGGTTGGCCGGGGTCAACTCTGCAATCCCCGGGGGATCGCAATTGACGATCAAGGGTTTGTGATAATTGCCGACTGTGGAAATCATAGGATTCAAATATTTCGTGGAGACGGTCGTTTCTATTCAATGTTTGGGACCTGGGGGGATCAGCAGAATCAGTTTAAAAGTCCTGAGGGGGTGGCTGTAATGACCAATGGAGCTGTAGCTGTGACTGACCGGGAGAATAACAGGGTTCAACTCTTTTGAAAAGCAAATAAGAAGTCCACTACCACTGGTAAGTATTATGGGATGTTGTTGTTGTTAAATGTGTGAAAAAGTCCCTAACAATCTTTCTTTCTATTTTTTTTAAACTAAAGACTGAATACATGCTAGATAAATGTATAATTTAAGACTTTTTATATTTATACATTCTTTTTATAGATACAAGTATTTAAGTAAATGCTCAGTTTATAATAAACAGTATTAACAGCATTTACCGGTAAAAGCACGTCAGGCTATATGACGATTCCATATAGAATACAGGTTTGATTTCTGTTGGAAAACAAATATTTTCTGTGACAATTTCTCGGACATTCAGGCCGGTAAATGTTGTTAATACAGTTTATTATAAACAGAGCATTTACTTAAATATTTGTATCTATAAAAATGAATATATAAACATAAAAATGTCTTAAAATAATTGTCGGATTTTGTCCATTTCATAATGTGTGACGTCATTTGTTTACATTTGGATATGCATCGAGCAGATATGAATGTACATGAAAAATCATGGAAAATTGTAGTTTAAAAACAGTAAAATCAACCTTGCTAACCGAATGCTCCTCTGTGGCAAAATTGGTAAAAGCATGTCAGGGTATATGATGGTTCCATATAGGATAGAGGTTCGATTCCTGTTGGAGGACGCATATTTTCTATGACAATTTCTCGGACATTCAGGCCAGTAAATGGTGTTAATACTGTTTATTATAAACAGATCATTTACTTAAATGTTTTTATCTATAAAAAAGAATGTATAAACATAAAAATGTCTTAAAATAATTGTCGAAACTTTCATAATAAATGTATATGTTTTTAAGTACTGGAAATTTTTGTACACACCAAATATTCTTCTTTTCCTGTCCCCGAATGGTTGTGACATTTAATGTATGAAATATCCAGGGTGTGATGGGTAAATTTTCAACATTTTATATTTTTAATTTCACACATCTGCATAGTTTGATTTTTATTTTGTTAACTACACAGTATTGTAGGGTCTGTTGGGCACCATCTGTGAGAAAAAGAGCACCATGATGCAATTCACTCTGCCAGAAATTTAACTTGGCATTCATGCTGGAAGCTCCATTACAAACATTTCAGAGTGTTTGGGTCTCAATCTGAGAACAGAGCAAAGGATTTGGAAAGAGTTGGTTGAGTCTAATGGTGATTATGAAGGTACAGCAGCCTGGAAAACTCACTTTCATTGTTCTGATAAGAACTCCCAAATTAGTTGATGAGAGCCTCAGAATCAACACAGAGGCCTATATCCTTGAGGAGGTATGTTGCTCTTGGTCAAGAGGGTGGCTGCTGGAAGACCCTATGTCTAGCAACAAGACTCTGCCATATGTCACACAAGCAGAAGAACCCAGTCATGGCTGTCAGACAATTTCTGCAACTACATCACCCCTTACATCTGGCCACCTAACTCCCCAGATTTCAACCCCTTTCATTATTATGTATGGGGCGCAGTTGAACGAGAGACCAACAAAACTCCTTGTAATACCAAAGATGAACTGAAAGCAAGGATTATGATAGCGTTCACCAACTTAAACAAGCAGTCTATCCAGGAGAGTTGCAAGATATTCCAAAGTCATCTGGAGGCGATGGTTGAAGCCAATGGCGATTTTATTGAATAAATTTACTCTTTAGTATTTCAAGATATTTTTGCGTGATTTTAGTAAATATATCTGTTAAAATGAGATGTCAGTGTTATTTTCATTTTAGTGACATTTATACGACAATTTATCCATCGCACCCTGTACATACAAATGGAACAAGTATTATATGACATAAGGGCTTACAGCCATATCATGTTGAAATACCAGCTCTCAGATGATCACCTAAGTTAAGCAATGTCAAGCCTGATCCCTAGATGGCTGATCACTTCAGAATATCAGGTGTTGTAAGCTTAGATATACAGGTTGGATTAATGGATTGGAATTGGATATTAGAGAACCAACTTCCAATTCCAGTTGGGTTTGCAATATTCACTTACATGCGAATACCTTTTGGAAAAGGTATGAATTCACCTTTTCTCCCCCCAGCAATGTGTTAATTAGTAGGATTTGTATCAGTAAATTATCATAAATACCAAAAGATACTTATAATCTAAAAAAAGACATTTCTGGGTTTAAATAAGCTGCAAGTAAGCTGTAAAAAATGAATGAATCAATCAATATAGGACATAGGAGTTGTAAGTAGCAAGGTGATCCGGTATTCTCTGGAGTTAAAATTGCTTTAGTTCATTCCCTAGCCTATTTAACAAAACTTATGAATCAACTTCAGAATCAATTCAACTTTTTCAACAAAGTTTTTTTTTCAGATGTAAAATAGAACAAATCAATGTCCAGTCAGATTGATTTGTTTTTTTTTTTGACTTATCAACCTTTTACCAGTTAATTAAAGCCAGAAAATGTTGTTTTTTTATTTTGAGAATTTTTTTTTGAGATAATAATAATTTACTGATGCAAGTTGTACTAATTAGCCCATAGCTAGATGGAGAGAAGAGGTGAATTCATACCTTTCTCAAGGGTATTTATGCTTAAGTGAATACAATGAAGTCAACTGGATTTAGAATATATATATATATATATATAAAATTCTGTGACTTCCTGCATTTGCAACAACTATAAACAAATCACAAGGTCAAATGCTTCAAATTTATCTTGAGAAAGAAATTTTTACTCATGGCCAGTTGTATGTTGCATGCTCGAGAGTAAGAAATCCAAAGAATTTATTCTTCATTGTTAAATAGGAAAAAAAGAAATTTTCTTTAAAAATATTGCTTACCATGAAGTCCTATAAAATTAAAATAAATTAAAGAAATAATTAAACTTCAAAGTAGGATTTTTGTCAAACTATTTTTCCAGACAAATCAGTTTATTCAAATTTCATCGATTGGTTTGCAAAATTGAACAAAACGTAGCGTTTGTAAATCTTGACAAAAAAACGTTAGCAATAACTTCAGCAATACTAAATGCTGTGAGGATTTCAACACGTGTCAGTGTTTTGCAAAAAACGTTCTATTATAATAAAAGATAAATCTTAGAGTCAGATAGGCTTTGGCAAGAATCTCTTAACAAATGCAAATTTAAACTCTCACTGAAAAATGCTTAAAGAGTCAACAGAGAAGGAAGGGTGACTGTATGAGTGAACAGGAGATGCATGTCGTTGGATTGTTTGCTATTCTGTTGGTTAAAGAAAACTAATTAGGGAAGTTTATTACAAGCCAGAAGAAACTAACTACACCACCTGAACATCCAAGTTCACAGCACCTGGTACTACCAAGCAGTCACTCATAAAATACTGACTGGACTCTACATTACTTAACTTCAGTGATCAAATGAGAACCAATGTTTCAACATGATATGGTTGTAAACCCTTCACGCTAAGGATATAATTTCTACTGAAGTGATTTGAAGAAGAAAAGGCAACATGGAAACATTTGGCATTCATTAACTGAGCAGCCAGTCTGCTTTTGGTTGAAATTTATAAGAATCTTTCTATTAAAGCAAGTGTTCAGGAAAATAGGTTTCTCAAGTCCAGTAGCTGTTATTGCTCTTTCCAGTATTGATTGGCCGTTTCCTTCCTAACCTTTTATTTGAAGTAGAGTGGATTGTCAACACCTTGATTATATCATTTTTCTTTGAATTATATGATGCATGATAAAGGAGGGACATATTCAACAAAAAAATTGAAAATTGCTTTTTTCACTGCAAACTATTCATTATGTCATATCCAAGCATTTTACAAAAAATTACAGCCGATTACACAATATTTCAAGCTCATTTTAGTTTTATAGTTTATAACCATACAATGTGATAAAGTAACTCATTAAATTATTGTTACATAATTATAGTGAAATCATTAAGATTTTTTTGTCAAAAGCAGTTTATTTTTCGTCATATATTAACTCTTTGAGTCCTGACCACCATTTTACAGGTGGTAGGGAAAATTGATGTTATGCCCAGCCACAAGCTGAACAGTGGTAGAGAAAAATGACTTAATCCCTCGCTAGTGGTTGAACAGTAGGTAAATACTGGTAACTATATTTTATATCTACCACAAAACATTAAATACCAATTATTCGTGAATTTTAACTCAGGAGCTCAGGCAGAAGCATTAAAATTGTTCAGGAACACAAGACTCAAAGGGTTGATTTAAAATATTCCTTTTTTACAGGCTTTCAAAATGACTGGAAGAAAGCAATCTAAAAACAACAATGGAAAAGAGAGGTAACAAAGTGTAAATGAAATAACCACAGTTTGTTCAACTTAGAAAACTTAGCATTGCAGCCAAATTATTGTAAAATGCTGCCAATCACAAAGGAGAAAATGCTAAATGTTTATACCAAACAATAAATCAAATATAGCATCAAAATTTATATTATTTTTATTTGTTTGTTATGTAACTAAATACATAATTGTCAACAATGTTTCCATAAAACTTGATATTTCCTGTAATAAATTCTTAATAAATATTATTATTATTATTTTAAGGTAGTCCTAAATTTACAATTCCTTACAGCTAACCATGAAAAGAAATGTTTTTCAAAACTGCCTACAACCTTTCAGTGTGTATTGCTGCAAAATTATTGAATGTTGAATACGCCCTGTTTCCGTTGAATACATCATATATGATATCCATTTTAGTTGTTGCCGCTGTTGAAAGTTCTCAAATGATCTGGTGTCTCTTATCTGGTACAGTTCTTTGTGATTCTGTAGCACCAAAAAATAATGGTCCTAGCCAAGACCTATAGGCTTCATTCACTTAATTTGAACCATTGATCTTAGAAATTGGTTGTATACACACTTTAGAGATTTCTGAACAAGTTTGGTGCTATGCCTGACATCCATATGAAAGTCTTGATCTGATGAGGCTATTTAAGAACATATCTCAAGTTTTCATGCTAGTGTTTTGGTTTTCTAGCAATTTGCAATGTTCAGCAAAATTACCGCTTATATAGCCTATTCTACATTCAATTTTCTTATCTCCTATACTAAATTTCTTATAATTGATCCAGACACTAAGGTATCTGAAGTGTTAAGTATTTACTAATTCCACATCATGATTTTGTTTATTTACGAATTCAGGTTACGTGCCATAGTTTCTGTTTTGGAAAGGTTGATCTTGAGTTCCATTTATTGGAAAACTTGGTAGAGAATGATGATTTTTTTGTTCAAAATCATTTTTATCTCAACTATGAATTTTTTTAAGTATTTCACCCCAAGAAATGTGGGAGTGCCACTAGTATGCAAGGGGTTACAGGGAGTGGGAGCAAGTGTAAATAGAGCATGTTAGAGTAAAGGATGAAGAGAAGGATTGGGAATTAGCTCAAGGCATCTGAAAATGTTGATTGACATTGCATTTGAATAATTGAAAATTATATTTATCATGAAAGCAAGTAAGAGGAAGGGAGTTTCACAGATGGGAAGTGCGAGACATGAAGTTATTGGATTAGAAGAGATGGCTATATTTAACAGTTTTGACAGTAAAAGGTTGGGACTGAGATGCCAACCTATTAGCACGTTTAAATTCATGCAGTTTGGGAACTAGTAAAAGTAGCTTGTCGGTGCAGTTAACATGAAAGTATTTGTAGAAAAGATGGAGGGAGTCGATGACATCTGTGAGAGAGTGACTGTAAATGGGATGATACCAGATTCGGCACCATAACCCCACAGTTTTGTAGGCAAACCTTTTGACTTGTCAAGACGTATCAGCAACCGTCTGCCAATTTTCATTATTCTTATATTAAGTTAAAAACAAAAAAAATAATTTCTTGGTGTTAGGTTAATTTTTTTCTTCTTTGTGCGTATACATCTGTTCATGTGTGTATGTGCAAATGTGTAGAATGTTGTGGTTATTACTACTTATATAAGAACAACATATCAAGGATATGGAAGAGCAACATCAGCTTCCAAACCAAGTTCAACTTCTACAAATCAGTGGTTGTATCCATCCTCCTCTACAAGTGTCAGATGTGGACACTCCTGGTTGGAACAGGAAGAAGGATCCAGACATTCGAAAAAGCTCCTCTGTATCTCTTACTGGGAGCATAAAACCAATGACTATATACAGAGCAAGGTTGAAAGTCGCATAGGCTGACAGGAATCTCTCCTCGATACTACGAGGGTCATTCAATAAATAAGGTGAATTTTTCGGTATAAGGACTTCTAATACAGATAGAAGCTTACTTTTGTTTTTATTTTTCAACATAGTCTCCCAGCACTGTCACACACTTTTCCCATCTGTGCACAAGCTTCCGTATTCCCTCAGCGTAAAAATCTTTGGACTGATGTCTCAGCCAGTCGCTCACAAAATTTTTGACTTCATCATCACTTTTAAACTTTGTACCTCTCGTAAACGCTTTCAAGGGACCAAACAGGTGAAAGTCTGAAGGGGCAAGGTCTGGGCTGTAAGGGGGATGAGGGAGCAGTTCCCAGCCCAGCTCATTGATGGTCTGCACCGTTTGGGCTGCTGTATGAGGCCTTGCGTTGTCATGATGCAAGATGACTCCTTCTGACTGATGACCCCTGCGTTTGTTCTTTATGTCTTTCTTGACCTGCCTCAGCAGTTCACAGTAGTTCTTCTGTCAGACTAAATGAGGTCATTGACTGATTCAATCACCTCAGGAGACCTCACTTCTGTAGGCCTCCCAGGCCTGTCTTTATCCTCAACACTGCTCTGTCCTTCTTTAAACAATTTAGCCCACTTGTAGACATTTTTTTGACTGAAACATGTGGCGCCATACACAGTTGACATTCTCCTATGAATTTCAACTGGTTTGCACTTCTTCAGCAACCAAAAACTTGATAACTGACTGCTTTTCAATCCTGGAGCATGCTTCTTGGTCAGCCATCTTTGTTAATCGCCAAAACTCTCAAAATTCGTTTTTAATCTGCAAAAGAAATTAAGTTTCTTTTTAATATGCAAAAGAAATTAAATCCATGTGGAAAAAAAGTAAAACAAAAAAAAAAATGAAAAAAAAGTAAGCTTCTATCTGTATTAGAAGTACTTATACCAAAAAATTCGCCTTATTTATTGAATGATCAAACAACATCAAAGAATGGACAGACATGAAAATGCAAGAACTCCTGATATCCATTGCCAACAGATCATCTTGGAGGGGATTGTCTATTTCTTCTGAACTTAGGCTCCCCACCTGAGGGATTGATGATGATTATATATATATATATATATATATATATATATATATATTAAGAAATGGACAAGGTCCGACAATTTATTTATTAAAGACATTTTTATGTTTAACGTTGTTATTTATAGATACAAGTATTTAAGCAAATGCTCTGTTTAAGATAAACAGTATTAAATAACATTTACCGGCCTGAATGTCCGAGAAATTTTCATAGAAAATATTCGTTCTTTGACAGGATTCGAACCTGCATCCTATACGGAACCGTCATATACGCTGACGTGCCTTGACATAGGACGTCATTTGTTTACATTCGATACGCCAGAGCAGTTATGAATGTACGAGATTCATGGAAGATTGAAGTTCATAAACAGTAAATTGACCTTGTCTACCGTAAGGTTCTTTTTGGCATCAAGGCACGTCAGCGTATATGACGGTTCCAGATAGGATGCAGGTTCGAATCCTGTCAAAGAACGAATATTTTCTATGAAAATTTCTCGGACATTCAGGCCGGTAAATGTTATTTAATACTGTTTATCATAAACAGAGCATTTGCTTAAATACTTGTATCTATAAATAACAACGTTAAACATAAAAATGTCTTTAATATATATATATATATATATATATATATATATATAATAATCGACTCTCCCGTCGAGATTCAACGTATGATGGTCAAGCAGATCAGTTTCCAGGAAACCGACAGCCCGACACCGGCACATGAGATTTGATTATAGTGGTGAAGGCCTCATGCAGGACCATCCACACTTTTTAAAGGGACGAATACAGAGACCTGGTGCACCGAATGCCACAAGGTTCCCAAACGACCCTCCGCAGGTTTTGAATTCAGAGTTGTCCTTCTCCTAGACCAGTTGCCATCCAAGGCTATAGAACCCAGTCTGTCCTGCTATTTCACCCATAGCTGGAGGGAGAGGAAGAGGATTCATACCTTTCCCAAGGGTATATATATATATATATATATATATATATATATATATATATATATATATACATGTGTGTGTGTGTGTGATTGTATTATATATAAAATTGAATTAATTTGTTTTTATATATTTCTTTTCAGGTTTCCCTAAGCACCAACACTTCTACCAACTGATCCAAAGAACATCTCACTGAAGAAAACATCTTCGTTTGTTCCAGGCAATAACTTTTAAAAATAAATTTGAAAAAATGTAATACTTCCAGTTATATATATATATATATATATATATATGAGAACAATATATACATTTTTATATATCAAAAACAATATTGGGGTTAAAACGTATAACAAAGTGAAAAAAGTTTTTGTATGAAAACTTTTTTCCACTTTGTCATACATTTCCCCCAATATATATATATATATATATATATATATATATATTTGGCCAGCTCATTATGTATGTAACAAAAACCGATGCTTAAACTACAGCCAATGCAACAATATTATGGATAGGTGAAACTGAAACTGTACAGGCAAGTGTACAGTTTATCTATTAAGCCAAAAGAGTGGGTGGGGATAGAGAGAAAGCAAGCCTTCCATCCTTCCTTCCCTCCCCTCCTCCACAAATGAATGTTGTTTCCTTTACTATTTGTCCAGAAATGGATCAGTTGTGGTCTAAAAATTACAGTACCTGTTTCCATCCATCAACGGCTAGCTGATGACCCATTCATTCCTACGAGCTCCATAGTCACTTCTCAACAACTAGACGTGTGCTGGTCCATTATCAGCCTCTCCCCTTCCCCACTTTTCATCATTTGCAAACAAGGCTGGTAAAGAAACCTTTTTGTTGGCAAAAATGACTTCAAATTGAATCAGCCCTATTCACTCATTTGTAAAGCAAGGACACTGTTACTTCTCTTCTAACAAACCGTTTGCCTTGGGAGACTCGTTGATCTTAGCAAAATTGGGGGAGGGGTCTCTTGATAAAACTTATTTTCTTGGCAATTGGATGTTTTGCTCCAAAAGCAACAAGTCTTACAGCCATATCATGTTGAAACACTGTTTCTCATATGATCACCAAACTTAAGCAACATCGAGCCTGGTCAGTATCTAGATGGGTGACCACTTCGGAATACCAAATGCTTGGATGTGCAGGTGATGTAATGGATAACAGCTGAGAATTGGAAAATGGAGAACCAAGTTCTTATATGCTCTCAGATATGTTACGTTGGTTTTTACAAAAGCTTCTGGTAGGAATTCAATAAATAAATATGAATGATACCTTGTCAAAAGCAAGGTTCATTTTATTAAAAGACACCCTTTAGTATCCTCTCAATTATTATGTCCATTGAATTCATGGAGCTATCCGTAAGGAACGACTTCATAATATATTTGTGTGATCTGCCTGCTAACTACTGTGCTATGGAGTTTTATGGCCAGGCATATTGTAAAGGACTGATAACATCTCAGAGGAGTTGGAAGAAGATTTCAAGACAATTCCAAAAAGATCTGCAGAAATAAATGGCAAAATTGTCAAATGTTACGATTAAATGAAATCTCACAGAATTGCTCATCTGTTGCTGAAAAACATCATGAAAAACATAATTATATTAAAAATTTTAAAATTCATTTGGTTTTGCAGTCTTACTCTTAGGTCCAGAATAAACGGGCCCCTGGATAGTTATTTAAATTTTAATCCCACCCCCCAACCTACCTACTGTTATTCCAACCATGCTGTCTATTTTATTTTACACTTCATTTTCCAACTTTCTCTCTTCCTCCTTTTTCAATTTGAAAACAAATTTTAAATTAATTTTCTGTCCTGAAAGAATAAATATCACAGATTAACTTATTATCTGGTCAAATAGAATCAAAACCCCTTTGTCTATTTTATCTTCTCTCTCTCTCTCTCTCTTTCTCTCCTTTTTCATTCTATAAACAAATTTTGAATAAATTTTCTATGCCCCTCTCACCTTTATTCCACACCTTAGTTATCAAAATGGAAGAAGTAAATGTCCTGGAAGAATTTATTTAACACTTTATCTGGTTGAACAAAATCCAAGTTCCCAGTATTTTCTTAAAACTTCATCCTAACCTTTGGTGTCAGCAAGAAGTTTGAAAGAGTTTTACTGACTTTAATCTTAATCTGTCTTGGGGGCCTAACCAAAGTTACAAGAGTTTTGGTCAAATCCTCTCAGAACCAATTCATATTGTTTATTACAAACAAGTTATTCCTTACTGAAAATAAACAAACATTTCAACTGGGGTGACTTGCTTCAAACTAAACTGGAATAAACCTGATCCCAATGTCACTTTAATTTCAGCTTAATAAAATTTTAACTGCAATTCAATAAAGAGAATTTTTGGAATACAAGTACTATGGCCACATTTATACGGCTTCAAGAAATTGGCAGATTTTGTGTGAGGCCACCATTTAGCGGCTTTGTTGGAATGACCATTGAACTGTCTCTAAATTAACCAAAAATGATTCAGTCATGTAAAGTGTTTTAAAGAAATTCTCATAAAATTAAAAAAAGGTAGAATTGAAGAAAAATCTGATGTAAGAACTTTTTTTTATTCTATTCTACAGAAAAAGAATTATTTGGCTTTGCATGAAGAACACGAGACATGTTGAATATTCCTGTCGAAATCATGTCTCCAATTCTAGATGCTGGTAACAACAGGACAACATTCCAGTGGACAAAATCCCAGCCTCTTATCCCAAAAGTGGACATCTCCTTACAGCTATGGGTTAATTAGTAATACTTGTATCAGTAAATAATTATATCCACCATCCCACAAAAATATTCTTACAATCTAAAAATATTTTCTAGCTTTAAATAATGTTAAATTACCATAAACAATATTTTTAATGGGTTTAAGATTCTTGATGTTATGCAATTCAACTAAGAAATTCTTTAATTATTTGGTTTCAAAAATATGTGTTTATGTTTGGACAAAAAGAAAAAAAAAATGTCGAAAATATTTTTTTAAATTTTCATTGCCAAAAATACACTTAAATATGACAAAAAAATCTACCGAAATTCAAATAATGAAACTTAATAAAACTTTTCGCATTTATTTAATAAATGTTTGGTTTATAAAAGAATCAGAGGAATTTTTTATATAAGTAAAACCCTTTTTACCCTTTGATCAGATGACATTAAAATATATTAAAAATATTAAATTAATATATTAAAATATTAAGTCTAATACAGAAGCTCAAATGGTTCGAGTTTTTAAGCGGATTTTTTTCAGTCTTTGTCGTTCATTTCATATTTGAATTTTGTCTTGAGTCTTCACATCCAGAATACTGAAAAACCCTGTGCCAACTTTGCCAAATAAATGATCCGCTAGCTGAAAAATGAATCCATATTTTTGTTCTTAAAACCTGTAACCTTGAAATGATATCAAGAGTTCTGGAAACCCCAACCTGAAATTCAAACAAAAATCTGGTGTATTTATGGAAGTACAAATTTTATGCAGAGATAAACAATGATGATAAAACAATTCCTAGAAATATTTAATTTATCATACACACAAAACAAAAAAGTTTATTGCAGACTCTCCATAAAAAAAGTATGATAAACTTGGATTTTCATGCACACAAAAAAAACAAAAAAAAACGGAGTGTTCAAAAGACAGTTTTTCCCTTGACACCACTATTATTTTAACTACCTTCACTCCTCAGCAATGTTTATTCTTTTAAAAGTTGATGATTAGAATTGTAATAAAACCTAAACATATGAAAATGAATTTACACATTTTCATTGTTGATAAGAAATGACAACAAAATAATAAACACTATTTATTTATTAGATTGTTTATTGAAATGTTTGGCAAATCACACCTGCTGATTGCCAATCAATTCAAACTTTATAAAATTGTAAATAATAAAGATTTCTTTATAGTGGTTCACATATTTTTAGAATTTAGTAAATGTTTATAAATTTATGAATAAAAAATTATTTTCATATTTATTTCTTTATAAATTGGTAAATGATAAATATTGCCTTGCATTGTTAGTTTTAACTTAGTTTTTAGAATGTTGTTATAAATTATTATTGTCAATAAAAAAAAAAAACTACTAATTAAATGTTTAATATTTTTTGTTCTAAATTCTCAAGAACAAAAAAAATGTATAAATTCACTTTCATCATTGTGCTTAGGTTTCTCTTCTAATCATCACTTTTTAAAACAATAAACATTGCTGAGGAGTGGAAGTAGTTAAAATAATACCAGTGTCAAGGGAAAAACGGTCTGTTTGACACTTTGTTTTTTGAGGACATGAAGGTCCAAATTTGCCAAAAATATATTCTTAATCAGAATTAAAGAAAAAAATTTTTTTTTTTTTTTAGTGAAATTTTAATTCTATATTTCTGACTTATGAACATTTTCATGGGTCAAATGGCTAAATGGTGAGAACATACACTTTCCAACCATGAAAGCCATGTTTGTATCTCACCATGGCTGATTAATCAGGAATGTGACTTTTTGATGTTATCGTCCTGGAGAGATGATCCTATGATGCGGCACCTTTGGAAAACGTCTATAAACTATATCATGGGTTGATGGAAGACTTGTGAATGAAATTGGACTGACGCAATTGTTCAGGAGTCATTGATTGGCGTGCTAGCATAAAGTCAGAAGTCATTGTGACCGAGGGTTTGAGCGTGCTAGCCTTGTTCAAAACATTGATCACACGAGATTGTAGTCTGCTCAGGCATCAGTATTAGGTTGTGGCTCGCCACCCTGGGAGATGGGTAGGCTCAGTAATGAGTGACAGGCGGCCATTGAAACGTATAATAAATTTCTTACTTGTAATTTTGATGAAAATAGTTTGCCGAATTCAAAATGTATATTTGTATCTAGAGCGAGTCTTTCATTTAACATTTGCACCTTTGCAGCTGATGTAGTTAAAATCTACACCAAAAAATCTCCCAGTGTTCAAAACAAATACATTAAATGTATCTATCTGTGTCTGTCTGTGTGTCTTCAAGCACTTGCACCTGTTGGTTACTTATTTTTACATATCATGGACTTGTTTGAATATACATTTATCACATATCTCATTGAAATTGTTGTAGAGACCTTAGCTGTTTTTTGGCTCCCTTGTATCCCCATTCTGTTCCCCCTCCTGTCCCCCCACAGGCATTTGTTTCCCTTCAGTCTTGCCAGACTGAAACCTTTCACA